TAAAAACCATGAATGTTCATTTCCAAAAATTTCCGATTAATAATCATTGTGTGTTCTTGATCTATGTATTAATTCTTTCACATTTGTATAGATTTGTTCTTAATATGCAAGCATTTGCTGTAGTTATTTCCCTTATTTTATGTTGTAATATGTGGTTCATGTTGTCATAGTTACTTTGTATGTTATACATTTTCATTTTGGCGTTAGTAGTGATATTATGTTGTCTCTATGGTTGGCACATGCGTGTGCGACATCGGGAATTCCATTATAAAGTGTTACATGATCGTGACACTCAAATTGACTTTCATTTATTTTACATTATATTACATTTATTGTGATGTGTGTTGCTCATTATTTAAAGTTTACATTATTACATGTATATGGGGATATGTAATTGTTGCTCTTATATGTAAAATTTGCCTCTGATTGGTATTTGTTAATTGTTTAGAAACTTTGGTACTTCTAATCGCTTGATATCTTCTTTTTGATGTTGTCAAAGGGGCAAAGCATATGCGAGATGAAGATAGGAATCACAAAAACATGGGGTGCCTTTGAAAATTATAAGAAATGCATCGTCGAAAGTTTTGCCATCATCAAAAAGAGGGAGTTTGTGAGTACAACTTCAACACAAGGTGTTTTGCATGATGTCAAAATCGGAAAGATGGCACTTCGGTAAAATGGATAGTATCTCTTTGTCGTATGGCACTCCTCTGCATTATAGGTCTTAGGAATCATCAAAAAGCACTTTGAAATTGACCTAACACATTAAAAATCACTTTCAGCACGTTTTTGCATTGCATGCATCGACACATTCAATTTTCAGGTCGACACATGTAACTCAGTTTTTAAGCCTGTAAGCTTTTGTAAGTTACAAGTCGACATATATATCCTTCAGGTCGACACATACTGAAAGATTCCTGAAATTGCAGAAATTCTTATTTTATGTGTCGACACATCCATATTTCAGGTCGACACACTTACTCACATTTTAAAGTCTGTAGTTACTGACTTGCTCAGGTCGACACATGGAGTCCTTCAGGTCGACACATGCAGTCTTTTATAACGTATGTATTGACACATACGATATTGAGGTCGACACATAAAATATATTTTGGTCAAATTTTCATTTTCTTTTATTTCGAATTTGTCCTTTTTGCCCTAAACTTTTCCAAACTATAAATGCCCATTCATGCATCATTTCTAACTTGATGATACCATAAAATTAGCCTAGTTTCTCTCTTATTCTTTAACCTTATGATCTATGCATACACACCAATATTACATTGTGATGATGTTCCATCGGGGTGCCATCTAGATGAAGAATTGTGGATTTCCAATTGGTTTGGTTGAGTTTTTGTAGGGGTCTTCATTCGAAAAAGCCATCGGGTTTCTCCTCCTACATCATTTGTTGAATTGGGGGTTTTCGTACAAGATCGTGCGAGAAGGAATCGTCCATGTGAAAAATCCCTTGGAGTGTTTGAATTCTTTTCAAGGAACCTTAGAGTGTTTGAAGTCTTTTAAGAAAGTAGCAAGAATTGGGTGATAGAATCGGTGATCTTGTATTTATAGTGTGCAATTGGATTTACTCGAATGAAAAATACTTGGAGTGTTTGAAATCTTTGCAAGGAACCTTGGAGTTTTTGAGATGCCACAACTCGTGCGTCTATGGAGCCATCAGTTCACATTAATGGAGCCTTCCCATAAGGACCTTCAGACAGGTCTGTGCTAGCAGGATTTTCTGAGCATGTTGCATCTAGGATATGGCAGGACGAGGTTAGGATTTTGTTTTTCTTTTATTGCAAATTTTTCTGAGAAAATTTTTCGAGTGTTTGAAAGTTGATGTATAATTTTTTTATTCATTGTTTCTTACAGGAGCGTGTGGTGCTGAAGGTCGCTTCTCATGGTTCGAAGTTGAAGAACTTTCCAGAGGGTGAGATGCCTGAGGAGGTCAGGCGTATTGTTTTTTATTTTTATCTGATGGAGTTCGTTGAATGCTCCTAGACCATGCTCAATGCCTCCTTATCGTCTGCTTTTATTGAGAGATGGCCCCCAGAGACATCATCCTTTCATCTTCCATTTAGGAAGATGACAGTCAGTCACCTTGGATGATGTCGATTCCCTATTTCAAATCCCAATCGCTGGGAGATTTTTCACACCTCCTCATTTTAACCATGTGACGGCGGTCTGCATGGTTATGGATGATTTGGAGGTATCTGAGGCGAAGGTTCTAGAGGATTTTGGCTTTAACAGTGGATTTCATCTTTGAATGTCTTGGCTAAGGGAGAGGTACGGGGATCACGTGGAGGCCCATAGGTATGAGGTTGTCGCTAGAGCATATATGCTACATCTGATGGCATGTACTCTCTTTGCGGATAAGTCTGGAATTTACATTGATGTTCGCTACATGTCTTTGTTTAGTCCTGCCTAGTGTTCCATGTGTGGGGAGATGGAAGGGCAAGCAAGCCCTTCCAGTAGGTGTGATGGAATATAGGAGGAGACTTGACGCTCTGACCATGGAGGATTTCGTTTGGACACCATATACATCTCATCGGCTTTATCGTGCATTTGACGATGCTTCTTTCTATTCAGTGCATATTAGGTGGAAGAACCATGTGGCTAGACACTTGTCTGAGAGGTGTCTGCGACAATATGGTTATATCCAGGGCATTCCTCGTCTAATTTCATAGGCTTCAGCTGGTGGCATTGACATATGGTCTCATAGTCACATCATCAGCTCTGTCTGTGAGATCAAAGATATATTAGTTATGGTTCAGTATCCTTCACAGTGCGAGGATGGATACTTGGAGTGGTATCACAGTATATCATATCCTCAGCTATGACATCTTATGTTCCGCGCCCTTCACGTGTTAGGGTTTCTGTCGAGCTGCCACCACCACCTCCACCCCCTGCAGATGATCAGTACAGCCGCCTACAGTTTATTGCTCTTCATTTAGATAATCTCGTGGGTTTGGTAAACCCTGATGGTGAGATTTATACATGTTTAGCTAAGTTAACAGGTGTGGCTCATGGGAGGCGTATGTAGATCTATTTTATTTTTGTTGTATTATATGTATATTTTGTGACACAAAGACTTCTTATTTATTGCATAATATTTTGCGATTACATGTTTCGATTCGAAGATGAACATAACATAAAACAGTACAACAAACATAAATTAGAAAAAACTAAACATGAAAACCTAGGCACTACCAGATGATTCTGGACATTTCAGCATCTTGATTATGTCATTGATGGATCTTGTTATATACGCATCCAACTCGATCGAACCTTTAGTTATGCTACGGCAAAATGATTTCCACATGGCCTTCACATCTTCGTCGGTCTTCAACTCAATCAGGTTGTATTTTATCCTTCCATTTGTATCAATCCAGTCTTTCAGAAACTCAATCTTTCTCACCCTTTTGTTATCAGTATCAGGCAGCAATTCATTCAACTTGTCTTTCAAATTGTCAAAGGATGTGATGCCATCTAAAAACTTGAATTCAACAGAAGAGTTGTTTCCGTTAAAATACACTTCTGCAAAGTTCTATCAAAAATTTACTATGTACCGAAAATTTTAATACACTAATCAGAAATTTTGTTCAAAATTTTTTTTTAAATATTTCTGAAATAATGAAAATTGAGAGTATAAGAAAAAATTTGAGGAGTGTCGTGTTAAAAGAAACTTACATCACCGCCACTTTGATCAAGCACTTACTAAAAACCAAACATGACTATTAGGGAAAGTGTTTTGGCCAGTGCATCAAAATTACAGAAAACTTGCGACTGAAAAAACGGTAACGGAGAATCAACGGTAAAGCCGTGAGTATCATCGTTTACTTTCCAACCCTCTAATGTTTTTAAACTTTTTATTCTTTTAAGAATGTGCAATGCATGCATGATCCATCACATTGTTTTGAAAATGCAAAAAAAAAATAGTTCTAGGGTAACTGTAGAGACGATGGAGTTTGTTGGTTCATCAACAGATGATATAACTCACATTCTCTCTTTTCTCCCCACAAAAGACGTTGCGTGAAGAACTCCCCTTCTCTGCTCTAACATCTCACTACCATTTCAATCATGCCACTTGTTTAGAAGAGTTGGTGCTCAGGAAGTATTATTCTGCTATCAAAATCCCTCTCTATAAGATTTCTGGTGTTTTTCTTTTTACAAGACTAAAACTACTCAAGCTGTATGGAGTTAATATTTACAATTGACAAATTTGAAAGTATTATTTTTCCAGTATTGAAAAAGTTTGAGACTCAAAACTGCTCTTTGGTTAAGTGCAAGTGCGGATGATGTCACTTTAGAAATAAAAGCACCTCTACTCGAAAGTGTTTACATAGAACAAGACTACGAGTCACTAGCTCGTGAGCCACGTCGCTGTAAAATCAAATTTTCTGATTCACGTCTGAGAGAATTCACGTATTGTGGTGAGGGTATGTCACAAGCTATTGTTCTGTCAGATCCATCTTCAGCGCGCAATGCTACTGCTAGCTTCATTTTGTCTAACGTTATTCCTAACTTTCAAGAAACTGAATCATGTGTCTGTCTCCTTCTCAAACAATTTAGTCAAGTGAAGAGGAATCAAATTTGAGGTATACGAGGTAAGTTCGTATCGTTTACTTACTTAATCCAATACTGATTATGGTGGTGCCAAACATTGAATATAATTGAAATATACTCCTACTTTCAAAACCAATTGAGAACTTACTATCAATTTATAGCTCATACACTTACAATTTAAGTCATATTTAGTCAGTAGTGGCATTCTAGTATATTGATTTGATTTCCAAACTTGATTTGACACAGTTTGTTGACTCGACACACACCCCGATCTTGTTAACAAATACATGAATTTTATTACATTGTTAATGCTGTTCAAATACATGACTAAATATGTTTTTATAATATAGTTAATTATGTTTAATGAATATTATGTATTTGAACATTGTTAACCATATAACAAAAGATGAACAATGTATACTGTGTGATGAGCCATGTATAATATGTCTGTTTCTCTAATTTTTGTCATCCAGTTTCCGACAAAACCAAATGGGGCTCTTCTACCTAAATTTGCAATGTTTAGCAATTTGAAACTTGGCTTTGTTAGTGTTGAAGTTTTGTTGGGCTTAATTCAAAACGCTCCTGCTCTCAATACTCACTTTTCAAGGTTGGTAATTAGCGTTTTTTAAATTTATTTATTATACTTTAACCTTTATATCTTGTCATATTTAGACTTCGTGTGATTACAAATGATTAGGGAATATTGAAATTCAACCATGAGCTTCTTAACTCTGCTGCTGTGCCAGATTGTTTGACATCCAGTCTCTAAGTTGTGAAATTTGGATATGTCCGTGGATACGAGCATGAGCTTTTATTAGCTAAATATTTAATGGGAAATGGTATAGTGCTTGAGAGGATGAGTTTCTCCCTTGCTTATGCAGAGTTGGTTGAATCTAAGGTCATTGAAGAATTTAAAGAGAAGCTGTACTCATTTAAGAAAGGAATCTCTTTTGCCATTCTTGAATTTTCATATAATCATTTCTAGTTTGTGGAAACAAGTGTCTGTCTACCATGCTTCTCGTCTACAATGTTTCTTTTGGATGCCGTATAGGATGTTGGCATGGAGTAATTGTCTACAAATGGTGGTGACTGTACTTTTTGGCTGAAAATGGTGCTTGTAATTGTCTACAAGTCTGTCTATATTTCTGTGTAATGAAGTTTAATATATATTAAATTGTGTGTTTTACAAAACAAAACAAAACTACTTTCAATTGTGTTTTACATGATGTTAAATTCTGTTGTATATTGAATCTTACTAATTTATGTCTGTTATTTTTATTTATATGTAGTATATTATTAAGTATACTTTCTCTATTTTAGATAGAATCTTGTGATTTTCAGCCCCTCTCAATTCTGGGTAGGACCACAAATTTGACAACATTTATGATGATAGAGTGCTAGAAAACTAATCTCAACTTTAGTCTTATAAACGCATGTTTTTTCATTAGTTGATAATCAAAAAGATTCCATTAAATTATGTAAGCCTCGAGACATGGATGAAAAGGAACAACAAGCTACCATGTAACATGTTTATTTCAGGATTCGGCAGAGCTCAACAGACAACAAATACTATATCCTTCGGACTAATTAGCGAAACAAAGATTTAACATCAGTTCAAGATCCTTTGACTATTGCCATTTATAACACATTTTATCTTCATTTCCTTTTCTTTACTTTTTTTTTTGTTTAGTAAACTCCATTATTTATTATTTAATTTTTTTTCCGAAGAAATTATCAGATATTTAAACATCAAAGGTGCACAGAGAATGAAAAGAATGAAGAAGATTTGATGAATAAGAATGAAATTAACAAATGATATAGATAAGAAGCGACGATAAAAATGGTACTCAAATTACACGTGCACAATCACCAGAACCACATACTAAAACTGCAGTATCTCTGCTTATGTGACTAGCTAACTCAGGCTGGACCTTGAGATATTCTCTGCTGACAAATGATGCAGCTTCAGTAGCAAGGGCCTCCTCTACAAGTGCTATGCAGCAGCCTCTAAACCCAGCACCACTGAAACGTGCTCCCAATACACCAGGAGCTCTCAGTAAGATCTCATACAGTTGAATCAATGGTTCAGAGCCTTGGTAGACATAATTTCACATGATCGTCAATATTCAGTATTTACTTGGAGATACTCAAATTATATAAAGGTCAAAAAGTATGCAAAATTATGTCTCAGTCAACAAAAGATAATTTTACTTTTAATGCATACACCAAAATCAAAACAAAGCCAAACTAAACACCTATCATCTGAAATTTGGTTTAGTTAAATATAATGAACTTCAGCAGTAAAGCTTCCACCTTGCACATGCTCCAGATGAATTTGATGAATTCAAATATTAGAGTTAGTTAAACTTAAACTGGAAGAAATTAATATGGATGGAGATTTTAGCATTTTTCCCAGAGGGTCTGGGATCGGTAAAGTCAATTAAATATTTGTAAATGCTAACTCAAACTGGGCTGGTTAAGAGCTAAACCTCAAATCTAAAAGCTGTATAATAGCAATACTACTGTGCACAGCCATCGGTAAACCTCCCAACGTGAATGACTTGCAGTGGTCAAAGAGTTTTTAACAAGATGAAATCGACTTATGAAGCAACTAAAATTTCTTAAACACTACTAAGACGCATCATCAGGCTATATGCCTATATAGATGACATCTGAGTCCACTCTGGAACTTTGATCACTTTATGGGTCACTGTTACCCCACCAACTGTTCACATTAAAAATGTCCAGCTGTTAAAATCCAGGCCTATGAAAAATCTACTCATGATTTGTTTGCTTAAATAATTAAAATGTTCTTGACAATTCATCTAAGAAGCTTTATTTGGTCATTTGTTTACCCCTCAATCTAACACTGTTGAGATGAGGTAAAATTGAATGGGAGAACCAAAATAGAAAATAAAACAGATTACTTTCCTGAGAACCTGGACTTAAGTACAGAACATCATTTACCAGGGTTTGGAAGGCAAGATGTAGGAAGCGACAGAGAGAGAAAGATTAGAAGAAAATATAGGGCAGTAGAGGAGGAAAAAAACATGAATAGAGTGCTTCAAAGTAGTATTACGGAACAACACAGTCCAACACTTCTTTTAGGCACAATGTTAAAGGCTTCTGGATGCATTTTAACTTTTGCAAAAAATTTCAGGACTCGATACTTTTAAAAAGAAGTGCAACTAGACATTGGAAAGTTGAAATCTATATAGTAAACATGTTTTTCCACCCCTATTAGTTTCTTGTATTCAACTCACTTTCATCTTAGAGAGACAGGACAAGAAGATGAAATTTCAGAATATATCAATTAAGAACATTGGGGTTAAGGTTATACCACATTCATAATTTTGAATGGAACTCCGACCAGAGGCAGCAATGAGAATCCCAAAATCTTCTAAACTTCCTGTTTCCCAAGCCTCAATTCCTGAGTTAAACATTAAATTAACTACATTAAATCACATGAGCAGAGTAGAATACAAGCTCACATATGAAGCTGAGATTTATTGAAGCAGTAATATGGATTGTACCTTTCATAACACGCATATTCTCTGAGAAATAATGCTCTGCTCTTTTAGCGAGATCGGGTTCTAATTTGCACTGCACAAACAAAATGTAGGACTACTTGATTATGCTAAAATCATAAATGGAATTAAGTTAGACATATGACACGTATAAAGAGCATAAACCATCGCACATTAAATTAACTAACATTGAAGGGCACTATGGCAGGAATAGCACAATATATTTTCACAAACGTCAATGTAACAATTAATCGGCATTTGAGCACTCAAAATGGCAAGATTGGAAACCACAAATGCCATTTAACTTTGGCATATGGAATTTGCCATTTCTACCTTGAAGAGTATTAACGTGAATGCATGAGAGCTTGCTGAAGCTGGATGCAAATATTCAAACATATACTACTTCCCATGTGAGTTTTTCATTATGTTGTTTGTGCTCGAGGGAACTCCAATTTAGAGTGAATTGCAAATAGGAATCATCACATTTTTTTACAGATCCAACGAGAACTACATAAAACAGAAATAAATTTTATCATGATAAGCCCTTTGATTTCACTGTCAGAAAACCATATATGCTCTTAGTTAGCCCTTAAAAAGTATTTTTCTCAATTTCATCCAATGTCTATTGTGAGGAGCTTCACAAGCTAAGTAATTATTCTTTGAACGGAAAATGGTTTGCATGTCCAGCATTCAGAATACCGAAAAAGCTCGTTCTTTTATGAAAATGATATGGGCCAACTCAATTGGTTTAATTCGTTTATGTGTCTCAGTTCCCGATGTCATCCAAGGTTTTCCATAACTTCTGTACCTCTCCATAACATCACGTGATTGATGAGTTCTGATAACATGGTGCATAAAAAAGAGAACTGAAATTTGTTCTCTACTTTTCTGAACTTGCACTACAAAATTGTTTTCTAATAAAAAAAAAGGTTACTTATTCAGATATATAACTCTAAGTTCATGTCTGTTCAATCAAGCTTGTATAAAATTAACATCAATTGTGCATTATAACATTCAAATTAACCATGACCGGTAAATGTTTATGTGACGGAATTCAGCATTTAAATGCTCTGTACCTTGTGAGCCTCATAAACTTCTGGGGCAACTGCTTGGTGGAAAATGAAAAAGAATAACTTAGACTAGTTAGTATTTTGATAAAAGATATAATAACATAGTTCAAAAACGAGGAGTCAAAAATACTTACCATTTGATAAGATGGGTTCTGCTTTATAATCTCCAGATGCTCTGCAGAATGAATTAAAAATAACATTAAAACCCCTGGAACAATTATTATCGCACCAATTATCTAGAAAAGAAATTAAAAATAACATTAAAACCTCTGGAACAATTATTATCGCACCAAATTATCTAGAAAAGAAATTAAAGGTAAACGCTAGGGTGCATGTACTTTTGGTGTTTTACATTTGATGAGCATGGAAGTTTAAAACTAAAAGTGTTTTCTACAGTCTTCGCAAATCTGAATTTTAGTTCTTACAATAGTTTATAGGATGTTAATCTCAAAACCCCTAATTGTTTGGAAGTAAATTGTGACCTTTCAAACTTAAAAAGTCTAATGTTGACAGATTTTGATGGCAATAGGTTCTAAGAGGCTAAGGTTCAGAAATATCCAACATTTTGCATGCAACACATGTAAAGCAAACACAAGTCATTGTTAAAAAATATGAATGAAAACAGTCATAATTTACAAGAGAAGAAAAAATAGAAACACAACTTACTCAAGAAGAATTCGTGCAGCCTCTTTACATTCTGCAACTCGCTTATTATATCCAGGGTTGGCGGTCAAAGCTTGCTTTAACCCAGAAAGAGCCAGCAACATTTTGGTTGCTTTCAGTTGTTCACTCTCTTTGTACTCTTGCACCTTTGGCCGATGAATAAGCTTATATTCTTTCGTCTGCATATGCCAAACTAAGACATGAAACAGAGGAGTGACAATGATAACAGAGAGAACAGCATTTTGTAGTTATTAAAATGCATTGTCTTATACATGGAGACAGTTTATACATCAGATATTCCAAATCCAAGAAAGAGATCCAACCAAAGAGCCCAAATATATAAGAACTATGGAAGTATCTGTTTCAAGTCTAAGAAACAGATTTCCGGGAATATACGGTTAGGAAATGGCTATACTCATGTTTATTACAAGACAATAAAAAATGTATTCCTAGGTGTAAGGCTTCCCAGTGCAAATCAGGTTTAAAATGACCTTCCCATCCCAATTCTTCTCAAACACATGCTCCTTCGGTACAGCCTTCTATCAATGTGAAAAAGACAAAAAGATACATGCATAATAGAAAATGACAGACACAATTGGAAGGTTGGGAAACAAACCAACAAAGGTGTACATGAACAACTTATGCCAGACATCAAATCTGATTATGCAACTGATGGGTATGCTTTTTGAAAAAATAAAAGTACGATTGTAAATTGCAAAAAAAAC